TCAGCAGGACGTAGGAATCACTGTATTTCAGTACTTCACATTTCATTCTGTAGCTCTGACTGGATAGAAAAGTTTATTTTAAGTTTAAGAAATATTTATGATTGTGCTGCATGACTTTTAGTGCTGGTTTAACTGTAATGCCAAGTGCCCTTTTGGTTTTGTAGCCTTCCAGCTAAATATTAATGAGAAGTATAGCAAAGAATTCCTCTCTCCTCTCAAATCTTGGTCCTATCTGAGTAACCACCTGGATGTTGTCTTTGACTCTTTAGGTTTCATTTCAGTATGATATTTTAAAACAAACGAGCAAAAAAACCTTTTAACAGAAATGTTGTTTATTTGCTTCTAAAATCCTACGAATTTTTTTTGACACTGACTCATTTAGGCGCCGCCGCCTTAGTTGGGATGTTTTTTGTCTTAGTAATTGTAAACTTTTTACCTTTGTCAGTTAAAGGAGGGAGAAACATAGAGCTGTTTGATTTTTGATCTCTGGAAATGCCAGCAGACTATACTTACGTTATTTAGTGATGTAAGTGGTCGCTATTTTTGGTGAGTTCTGCTATTCCATATGCATCGGTTTATTCAACTAACTGTAGCATCAATTAATTTTTGCCAGGGGTACAGGGACTAACTTTTCAACTTGGAATTTTTTTCAAAGAACGGGTTATCTTAATTTTCTGTATTTTTATACAGGTATCGGATGATGGTCGATATGTCTTGCTGTCCATCCGAGAAGGGTGTGATCCAGTGAACAGGCTGTGGTACTGTGACCTACAAACAGAGTCTCAGGGTATATCAGGTACATGTTTTCTTGCTTTGTAACTTTATCTCATTTTAAGACAACATAAGATTTGAATTATTTTTGTACACATATATATATGTATGTATACAATATAGATGCATGAACTATATTTATAAAATATATACTATATGTAATATCTGTATATTGCTTAACCTCTTTTGTTCAAAGCAGAGAGTATGTGAAAATGCACGCTCCTAACTTTTGGATTCCTTTGTTATATATCAGGGGATGGAAAAATCCATTCTTAGTTCTTCAGTGTGCTTTAAAAATCGCAAGGAAAAAATGAGATAACGTAAGCATCCTTCACCAATATATGTTTCATTTTGTTTTCTAGACCATTTGGTACTCTCCATGTTAATTTTTTTTTTTTTCACATTTCAGAAAAACGCAATGTCTCTTCTTTGAAGTAATGGTCTCCCTTTTTAAAAAGGTCCCTGATTTGTATATAACTTTTATTTCCTGGTATTATATAGAGAACAACCAACAAAAATCCTTAAATAATAAAACTTTACTCTGTAGCATCATTTTTCTTAAAGTAGAGTTATCTACTCATGTTTGAAACACATGTTTACTTGCTTCATTGCATTGTAGTTGGATTAGCTTTTGACTTTTTTGTATTTGGTATTCTGGCCTCAGTAAGGTCGGCAGAAAGCACGGTGTTTTGCTGCTTGTGGTTATTGTTGATGGCTGGTAGAGTTAGTTGTTTCATTGGTCAGTGTTTTTACATTTGTAGAGTATTGGATTATGGAAGTTTCTTCCACGTTGATGGCTGGGAGAGTTAGTTGTTTTATTGATCAATGTTTTCAAATTTCTAGAATATTGGCAGTTTCTTCCTCATTATGCGCTCTGCAGAACACAGCAACTCTGTTCTCCTGGATTCATATTGTTGCTTCTGTGTGGGTGTTTTTGGGTTTTTTTGTTCTTTTTTTGAAAGTTTGGGAACAGAATAAATACCGTAGTAGCTCCTCATTAAATATTGGATCTCAAGAAACTTGGGTTTTTTTGCCCATAAACAGAATATTTAAAGCTTATGAGGGTGATCAGAACTGATAGCAACTCTGGAATATGGGATGTATATTTTGTTTCTCCCTGTCAGTGCTGTTACTGTACCACGTGGCCGTGTGGACTTGCCTTAATTAGTTGGTCAGCCAATCTTAGTACACTAGTTTGAAATACGATGAGTTAAATGGTAGTGATGATAGTTTCCAAGTAAATGGATTAGTTACTGCTTTTAAACTTCTTTCCAGGGAGTTTATTCATTTTATTGGGAGGCATATCGCTTTCCTCTTTTACAAATATTGTTTCCTAATTACTTTAGACCTATCTTGGACAACTGAGTACCTGTTTATGTCCTCTTGAATGTAGAATATGGCAGGCCTAGTAAAAATTATTAGGATGCTTTCCATGCAACTTTACTAAAAATATAAAGCGGTGTAGATAAAACTGTTTAGTGCAGTGATGAGACTGCAGTGAAGCGTTTTCCTAAATAATAAATTATATTGTCATTCAAGATGACGTTTTCCAGCTAGAGATAGAATGCATGAAAAGTATAGCTCTCTCCTCCCATGTTCACCTCCCATTTTTAGATACGCTGGACAGCCTTGACGAGAATACTAGCATGGAGCCTTGAAAGACCATAGATGAGATAATGAAGCTTCTATTTTGTACTGGCTGGTCTAAGGTAAACCTACAGTTTAAGCTTCTCTGGGCTTTTCTAAGCAGATGGCCTGAATTTGAACTTGTATTTTTCTTTACATTGACTTCCTTATGTTCCTACATCGTTCTAGTAAATAATTAGATAACTTTAAAAATCCTTACCTGAGACTTTGCAAAACCCTGGGAAGTACCACATTAGAGTTCTTTGTTGCTGGCGACTTCCATTATAATAATAATAACTTGGAGATGTTGTTTCTTTTTATGGATTAATATTGCAGTACTTTACATAAATTAGTAGTGGCATTTTCCAACTTTGGGATACTGGTTTAAAGTCTTCTTTTCTGAACCAGAATCTTTGAATTTCCTTCCCATTTATTTGCTGTTAGGCTGGGTGGGAGTTTTCTTTGCCCTCCGAACTCTTCCTTTTGTTTATAGAAAAGCACATGTTAGTGTAATGTTTGTTTGCACACATTCTCTATTTTATAAAGTTATGAACTCTCCATATCTATCTCACAAAGTTGTCAAATGCATTTTCAGTGTGAAGACTTTCCTTTACCCATGTCTTTCAATCTGCAGGTTAGTAAGCACAGACCTAACAGTAAATAAACATCTGGGATGTTTACTAGAGATGGTCCTCCATTCCAGTGTAAACATCTTGAACCACTGGTGCCTCAGCTTTTGATGGTCCAGAGCCGTAAAATTGAGCAAGCAATAATATGCACAAGCTTCATTCTTGGCTCTATCAGTCTCGACCACAAGAGAGGCAATTGCAATTCAAGTCTGGGACAGCAAGTGTAGAAGAGCTTACCTTTGAAGTTAGGAGAAAGAAATGCCAAATTACATTATGTAAACCGTTTTAGACAACCAACTCAGCAGGTCTAGATTATGACTGAAACAGAGTTTAATGTCTGTTTCTTGAATTAAGATCTGCATTTAATTGCCAATTTGTACAGACCGCTCAATAATATCTCAAGGTAGGTTCAAGTGGGTTAGGATTACAAGTAATTCTCTAAGTGTCTCGTAACAGAAGCACCTGTCATAACAAAACCGTATTTTACAAGAATACTGCCTCTTCCTATGATATCTATGGAATGCAGTGTTTGGTACAAGGAACAATGTAAGTAGCAAACAATGCCACTTGTTATCAAGTGTGAAGAAAAATCAAGACTCTTATTTTAAAAATTTACTTTTCTAAATATGTGGGATTATCCTTCCGTCTTTTGGAACAGTATTTATTTAGAATGAGAATACTTCATACAATTGTTGATAACTAAGATACTGCATATTTTTTTCCTTCTTCCTAACTACTGAATGTTTAATCTGAGCCTTTGTACATGTTTTACAATGATTTCCTTGTTCATAAATCCATTCCAGTATCTCAGAATAGTTCCTTTTACTTTTTAAAAAATTAAAGGAAAGTAGGATAGTTAATGTTTTTCCAGTGGCCTAGATGGTGTCCAATACAGAGAAATAATCTAGATTTTCCAGACACATTTTCTCTTCCCTGGTTGCTCTTTCAGTCCAGGGTGGTCTAAGAATGCACTGGTTCTTAGCAAATTTTCTTCTGCTTATGGTTTAGATTTTTCAAGTCTCAGACTTTTTTAGCCTTATTCAGAGAATATTGAACCTAAAAGGCAATGAAGCCTTTTTGAAAGGTAACAGGTGACAATGTTTTGTATGGCAGTCATCACTTAAATCTTTGTAAGGAATTGAAAACAACTTCTAAGAAAAAGGTAATGGATGAGATCCTAATTGTTCTGAAGCCTGTGGCAAAATCCTTACTATAGAATGACATGCTTCAGCAGATTGTTTTTAATACTTCTCTGTAGCATATCTTGTTTATAGATTATATAAATTCAATTTCAATTATATAAACATGATATATATATAATTATATAAACATGAATTTCTTCTCTTTTTAAATAATTACTTTCTATCCGAGGGTAAACATTCCACTGCGTTATTTGAAACGCTGCCTGTCAAGCTGTGGATTAAAGAATTTTCTGTGGCTTAGATTTGCACAGACATACAAAGAACTGATTCTGATTTATGATTTATTACACACAAAACCTATTTCAAGATGTCATGTTAACTAAGGGGGTGCCTTTCTTGATTTTGATTGCTAACAATGAATTCCTTTCCTGTGGCAAGAGGTTACCAGACTTCTGAGTTGTGTGATGGTTTTCTTGAAAAAGAAGGTGTTCTCATAGACAAAAGGTGAGCGCTGAAGAGCGATTTGCTTTTCCCTCTAATGTACTGAGGGCCTTATGGAGTTAATTGTAGTTGTGTTACTGTTTCTTTGAGACAGTGGCAGCCATGGTAAATGCTGCTTATTTGGCCTGCTTGCGAACGAGTGGCTGTGAGAAAGTCATAATGTTCACGGTTACACCCTCAGTACTGAATGCTAAAATGACAGGTTTTAGTGTGTCAGAAAGCTGCAGGGATATATATGAAATGTGATTCATTGGGGGAATAGACCAGTAGTTTATTGCTTAGATAGGGGAACTTATCTTTCTATTGGGAGATAAGTTGCCATGTTTCGTAATTCAAGAAAAATAACTTGAGAGAATTTGATTTTTTTTTAAATTTAGTGTAATTACTTATTTTTTCCAGTATATATTTTTGATGATTCAGAAGCAAAGGAAATGAGCTTTAAAAACTAAAAGTAAATGCTATTATTAACCCTTTCAGCCTCTGAAAAAGCAGAAAGAATGTCTTGGGCCTGGTAGGTGGGAAAGTGCGTCCCTTTCCAGAATATCAGTAACTAAAATAGACCTAAAAACTTGTCCGATCCCAAAGTGTTTTTATTCTTGTTTTATAGGAAGTGAAAAATCCAAGTAGAAAAACACCAGATGTTTAGGGAGCAGTGAGGGAATTGAAGAAAATATCTCTTCAAAGAATTATGTGGTACATTTTCATAGTTTGCCCCTTAATCAGTAGTGATTTTCAGACTGACAAGAATCCAATTTCCAGAGCAGCTGGGCTCTCGTTATCCTAATAACATTTCTGAATGCAATTAATAAGTAGATTCTAGATAAAGTTTTACAAACAAGTTGCATAATTAATTATTACAATGCTCACATGTTGAGAAACGAGCTGACGGCAGATAAAAGGCAGCTCCCATCTTGTTTCAGTGTATAACCTGTATCTTTTATGTTGTATCTCCTGAAAGGGAGAAAGCAAGTCTGAGGTATTTTGGCATCCCTCTATGAATGTCCCAGTCAGCACACTTTCTGCTACCTTTTGCTGTTGCCAAAGCAGAGCCCTCACACAGAGTTTGAAACCAAAGAAGGGGAAGAAGCAATGTGGCCATGGTTCATGGTTGTGTTCTTCTCAGTACC